ACATCTGATAGATCAAATCAAAAGGAGCTAACACGTGAGGTAGATAGTTTGAATAGTAGAGAATGTGATTTACCAAACTAGAGAATTGATTAATTTCATTAACGTGAATTTTCTCATTACAGGATTTGAGTACTTGTGACGTCATAGGATCTGTAAGATGTCCAAGTCTCATATGCCACAATTTCAATCTAGATTCATACTCTCTGGTGCATCTAGGAATATTTGACATTTTAGACTTGGCAACAAATGCTAAAGAGTTCATCTTATTTGGATAGACTGACTCTTAATAGGAATGCCTTTTAACTTAATCTAGGTGCTCAATCTTATACATACCATCCTTAAGCTTCATTTACAGCAACACCTTATTCGTTTGTTTGTCCTTGATAACACAAAAATCAGAGTGAAATTCCATAAATACACCATTATCAGATGTTAATTGTAAGACACTTATCGAATTCTTCTTAATTGATGACACCGGTAGCATGTTACTGAGAACCAATGATTTGTCATTCAATGCGTTCAAGTGTTTAGTGCCAATAAGCGAGATATGAAGTTTATTTCCATTACCAACAGTAAGATTTTCCTTACCACCATACTCATGTGCCTTAATCAGATTCCCTTTCTTAGCAGTGACTTGGTTGCTTGCTCCTGAATCTGCAAACCAGGCTACTCTATAATAGTGCTTGGTGAAGCTCCAAGAGTAGCTAGTTCTAATGAATTATTTTGAAATTGCGGATCAAGTTTTGTACCCATGTACCTCTCATCATAACAGTTGCATCATCTTTCTGCTGAATGATTACTCATTCCACAAATTTGACATGGTCTCTTACTTCATGTTTGCCTTCCTCATCTACCTCTTCTTCTTACTATTCTGTTGTTGCTATTTCTTCCACCATAGTTAGATTTACCTCCTCTATTTGTGTTTGACTTGAACACAAAATTTGTCGAGGCTTAACTCAAGTTAACTGAGGGCAGGCTATTTTCACAGCATTGAGATACTTAATTCTACTCTCATAGGTCATGAGTATAGATTGTAGTTCATGTCAAAAAATGGATTCTCTACTATTGATTTGAACTACAGTAGGAGTGTATTCCTCATCCAGCCAAGCTAACGTTTGGTGACAAGATCACTACGAGGAATACTTTTTCCAACAATCTCAAGGTTATCAACACTCATCAACAAGGAAGGTTACTCTTGATTTGTTCATAACTCCAAAGCTTTCCTAGCTTGAATTCCAGAGGATACAAGAGCTTGAAGATTTCATTACCCTCATGGCGATCTCAGGTATCATTGATGAATAGAGCCAACCCATCAGTAGTTGATCAATAGACATCCATTTTTCATATTCAATGTTCGGTGTCATTTCAATAGTGATGCCAATGGACCTAGTAGTTTGTGTTGACAGAAATTCGGATGGACATCTTCTTGTTCTTAAGATGAAGCCTTCAAGATTATTACCCTTAATGATGGGCACAACCATGTTCTTTCATAGTAAGAAGTTGTTCCTGCTGAGCTTCATTGGTAGAATTTGGGCGAGGCTTATCCCAAATGATGATATTTGATTTCCTCCCAACATCAAAGGCATCAGTGTGCATGAAATTGGCTGAGCTGATTGTACATTATCATTGGATCAGATGTCAGCTATCAATGTTTTGATACCAAGATAAAATAGTAGCAAACTTGTATATTTGAAAGTTTCAACTGAAATTACACATTGAACAAGATACACTCTTGGAGTAATGAGCAAGAAAGAAAATAGTGGCTCAACACGCGTTAACTATACATGTAAGAATCAATACAGTTACAAAAACCTAATCATGGTCCCACAGGTGCACATTATCAGCTCACAGATTCCATGTGCACACTACCAGGGTCTGGCTATTGTCACAGGTGCACAATTCATATATATTTCAACATCTTGCAAGTCGTGTCATCCTACATGGAATGCGTTATACTTACATCATTCGATAATATAAAATGGAACAATGGATGGAGTCCCGTAATATGTGGTGTGTTGGTGTGGATGAAACATAATGAAAAGGTTTCGGGGATAGAAGACACATGATGAGCATGAGATTTATGGGAAGCAAGCAGAATTCATGGTCAAGAAACAGAAAGTAGGTTATGTGCCAATTTCGGACAAGATGTTGCAAGAATTAGAGAAGAACGACAAGGGAAAGATGCTTTGGTATGACAATGAGAATTGTTTGTTACTTTCGAGATGTTGAATGGGTTTACGCCTCCTGGAAAGGCTTTGAGGGTTATAAAGAATGTGAAAATTTGTAACCATGATGCATTCAAGTATATATGCAGAGTGACCGACAGAGAGAATTTTATTTTTTTTTCGATTTTTATCCTGCAAGTATACATATCGTGAACAAGTAAAGTGAATGCAAATCCAAGTATCGATCCAACGTGGAATTAGTTTTTAATTGAGTTCTTAAAAAAATCCTATTTTAATAAAATGTAAAAACACAATAGATTGGTGTGATGCTGATTATTAACAACCTAAATCTATAATTAATTTAACTATGTGGTAGAAAGTGTTACTACTACTTGATTAATTAATTAAGTACTAGGATGTCGTATCCGTACATTCATTCATCTCAAAATTAATTTCACAATTTGACAACAATTACTTGTTATAAAGATTGATGTTCCTATCATGTTCAATAGTCCATCTCGAGATCAATCGACCATAATCCTAAGCACGATCCAAAATTGGATCATGCAAGAGTTAGACATTATTCCTAACGTCTATCTAACCTTATAATGAATTTTATCAAGTGACATCTTTCATATTTCTTCTCCCGAACATCAATAGGAATCATAAAACATCATAAGATTACTAGAACACAAGAATAATATTGAATTACTTCAATGGTTCTTGATTTCCCCTCCTTTAATCTTCTTCTTTGTCGGTAGTCCGAAGCAATAATCGTGTTCGGGGTGTAGAATTGGTGCACTACAATAATAGCTTCATAAAAGCTTGAACAAATCTCTCAATTCCTGATCAATGTGCTATCTTAATTATGTAGAATTTGTGTATTTGATTCTCCATACTTCCTCACTCGCTTCTCCTCTAATGACCTCATTTGTAGATGAATATACATATTTATAGGATAAGATTTAGGCAAAATTCGTGTCCTAGAAGGTTTCCATAAAGTGTTTAATTGTAAAAAAGAAAAAAAGAAATTATCTGGGACCAAACTGTACTATCACAAAAGTTTTGGGACTGTAATCTTAGAGTGTAAATACTTCAGGGACTGCTTCTGCAAAAACAGCTGCTACAATCGCGGCGTAGGTGTTTTATTTTAGATCGTGTCCCAGAAACTTTCCAGCAAGTACAATATGGTCCTCATATTTCATCTTCTATTCAATCTGCATCATTTCTTTGAATCTTGGTCCTTTAGCTTTAACTCATTGTAAATTGGTCCAAAACATTCCTCAATCATTCAAATCGATTTGATGCAAGATCCAAGATGTGTAATTAAGTTCCCAAACTTTCTAATCAACGGAGTTAGCTACCAAAACTTGTGAATCACTTCCGATTGCTCCCATAAGACTTGCAATAGATTATTTGCAACCAGGTTGATCATCAATTGCTCCGAATAAACTCCAATTGATCTAATTTCACATTTTTCATGTCAAACGCATCCAAGCCACTGATTTACCTACAATCAACATATTTCACATAACCTAGCCCATGTTTGTCTTTCATTAAAATGAGTTTTTGGGAAAAATGAGTTTTGGAATAGTGAATTTCAAAGAATGTGTGATAAAAAAATAGAAAAAAAATTTGGGTTTACGTACAAAATATGTTATTGTAAAAACATGTGGTTGGAGACAAATTTGAGAAGAAAAAAAAAAGGTAAGAGTTTTGATTTAATAAAAGACAAACAGAGCTTATATATATATTGAAATGGAAATGTACTGATACAAACATCATTTTTTCCAAGGCCAATATTTGAGAAACGTCAAGTATATAAATGCACTCTTTGATCAAGAGTTCTGTCTGTAACTATTTCTCACAAAAGCGTATGGATCTGTATGAACTTCATTGATTAGTTCCTTTCAGATGTTAAAAGAATCTTTTTCTAGTTACTCGGAACTCTATGATAAACTAGTAGAGCATTCTCGAGTTATCCTCGAATGGGAAATGCTGAAAGCAGTATCAGTTCAGACCGGATCAAGATCAACTGGCTTCTTGTTAGTTATGCCAGTGTGCTGCTAACTTGGTTCTTTTCCATAACAAGATTGTTGATATCATTCCTTCGACCTCAGAAGGAATTTGTGTCATACCACAGTTTAAAGTCACATTGCATAAGGCTCGCTTGTCTATTTTATGTATACTTCGTCGTTTTGTTTAAATGAAGGTTGCCTAGTAGATTGAAGAGAACACTCTTCTCCTACCTACTTTTTTTTTTTGAAAGGTAACTCTTCTCCTACCTACTATTCAATGTCTTCAAGACTTCGACTTTTCTATACATGGTTTGGAGTTGTTTTCCTACTCCGTTGATTGAATTTTCCTTGTCAATTTTGTCTGCAATCAAGCTGCAGTTCTATAGTCGCACAGTTTAAACTGGAGCTCAAGAAATTGTGTATGCTTCTCACAGAATCACATAAACACCATCTTGCAATGACTATGCATCTAGTATTACTTGTAAATTCTACTCTGTACATTGCTAACAAGTAACAAGTTTTTAGTATTGTGCCAGATGTGAGTCAGAAAATTATGATGTATTCAGGGCTAGATCTGCTGGCAACTTCACATACCAAATATAAATTTGCAGAGTTGCCGAGTGACGCGCACCAAAACTTGGAAACAAATTTAGGCAGTTTCTGCACTCTAATTACACTGTCAAACATATTTTTCAACGTAACTAGCAGAATGAAAGATTCAATCTTGATGCAATAGCAAGTTTCAGGTAAAAATGACCACAAGCAGAACGCAAATTTAAAACCTTCTTCACCTCAAGAGTCGAGTCAAAACCAAATGTCACTCAAAGATTCTTCGCCTTTTGAAGGTTCTACAAGAACTTAATCTAAACAGCATACATTCGAAACAAGTAAAGAATCTCAAACCTGCGTCTAGACAGGCGAAAGCCACTAATAACACTAGATCCAGTTTCTCTTTTGCTAAGCTTGTACCATTGAAATTGTTCAAGGGGGTAAATATTGTGAGAGAATGCATATCTAAAAAGAGGAAAATAAATAGTCAAACTGGAAAATTGAAAGGAAATGTCAAGCAAATCACACATTCTTTACAGCAGGTGAATTGTACCCATAAACATCATCCATATTTTAGCTTTATCTAAATCCATGGAAACATACATCGTGGCAAATAAATCCTGCACCATTTTGAAAAGTAACTACTGACAATAGCCTAAGTAACTCAAGAGTAAATGTCAAACAGACTACAATTTTGCATCAGCTAATAAATAGAAGAACATTACACAAGTGTTCAGAAAAATAACGAATAAACCTGAAAGTGAGAATCACGTGTTATATATTAGCCATTACAACATCAATTGAAGATTTACATAAGAGATATTGTCGAAGCTAGCAGCATCCATGCTTCATTATAACACCATTTTAGTGTTATTTCACACACACAAACACAGTTTGTGTATAAACAAATTCCATTAGAACTAGAAGAGTATATCAAAGAGCATCCACAAGCACTATGGGATAGAACCCAATGAAACCAAAAAAGTACTACAAATTGCATAAAATGAGAAACATTCCAAGTGGTACACTTGAGTAAAATGCCTTTAACAAGACAAATCATGAAAAGAACTAATATTATCATCAATCACCTTTATGTAGGTAACCTTTTGTGTAAGAATGTATTTGTATTACACACCATTGTATCAAAATTAACAATATTTCACAATATAACAAATATTACTATTAACAATACATTATGATCCAATCAAAGAACATCCAGTTTTCTCAACACCCAGTTCCAAATTCACTAAAAAGATCATTACGAAATTCAGATTGGACGAAATTTTAGAAAAATGAAAATCACTAGATAGATCATTATGAGATTTAGATTGAAGGCAATTGTAAGAAAATTCAAGACTAACTCACAACATGGACAGATGTTAATATTAAGAATATGCATAATATTTTCAACAAAGGACATCCAGTCTTCTCAAAACCCAGTTCCAAAATCACTAAAAAAGATCATTGCGAAATTTGTATTTGCCGAAATTGTAGAAATTCAGCACTAACTCACAATATGGACAAAGATTAATACTAATAATCAACATTATAATCCCATCTAAGAACATCCAGATTTTTCAAAACCCAGTTCCATAACCACCAAAAAAGATCATTACGAAATTTGGATTGGGTGAAATTGTAGAAAAATTAAAATCACTACAAAAAATCATTACCAAATTCCATTTGGATGGAATTGTAACCAAATTTGAGACTAACTCACAATATTAACAAGTATTCGTACTGACAATAAATGTTATAGTCCCAACATAGAACATCCAATTTTCTCAAAACCCAGTTCAAAATCACTAAAAAAGATCATTATGAAATTTGGATTTCGCTAAAGACTAAATCACGGCATTACCAACAAGAACATCCAGTTTTTTCAAAACCCAAAATACACAGCCCAGTTACGAAATCATAAAACTAAAGCCATTGAAGACTAAACCCACTTAGAAGGAGGGGCTCATGATGGAAGGCTGGGAAGCCGGGGTGCCAAGAAGAGACGCTTGCTGGAGCTCGAGTTCATTTAACTGAGCCTCCCTGTCCATCTCTATGATGAGCGGCAGTCCCAGAACAATAAACGAGGTGGCCACGATCCATGCGGCCTTGCCCGTGCTCTTCATTAGGCGCTTCGCCACATATGCCGCGTCACACGCGGCGCTCTTGCCTTTCCTCACGATCGAAGAATCCGAGACTCGGGACAGTATGCTGTCACTGGCTTCATTGGATCTACTTAATGATTGATTCTTTCTTCCTAGAGATGCCATTGTTTTGTGCGGAATAGGCCGGTGTGAAACCCTTCCGAGTTTTGTTAAACCCTTGAAACTGAGTTAATTTTCTCAATGACTCCTCAACTTATATTTGCCTCTTTCCACTGCTCAAGGAAGTCTGTGACGTGAGTTTTGACCATTAAACTTACTAAAATGTTGGACATTATTTTTTGGAAAATGCTATTTGTACTCATACATTTTTACAAAATGGTGTAGAGGTGTCGATCCTGGTAGTTCGGGTCGGGTCGACCCCCAACATATGAGCCCAATAACGGCCCGTGTGAAAAAAAGCCTGCCCACTGCGGGTTTCAGGCCGATTCCGAGTCTGCCCACAAATTTTGGATTATAACCCAAACTCGTCCGCTGACCCATCCGGGTCGAGTCCATGCGAATCACGGGTGGTGCGAGTTGCGGTTTGTTTCTATTTGGCCCGTATTATTGTACAAATAAAATTATAAAAATATAGAATTTTTCATATTTATAGTAAAAAATATTTTTTTTTGTTAAATGTAAACTAAGAATTCAACAAAATGATAAATTCATATTTATACCAAGAAATGTTTACATTGAATTCAAATTTAATGTTACATGAATTATTTATAACTTAGTAAAGTTAAATTTAACTTAAACAAATAACAACTAAATGCATTTCTAATTACTATTATCAAATATTTATAGCATAAGTACATCCCTACTAGGTTCGTACCTATTTTTTTTTTTCAAATTTTTTTTATTTTTTATTTCACAGGCCAGGGGGGTTAACCGCGGCCCGTGAAGGTGCAACCCGCGAATCCCGCGGGTCACACCTCCTTGACCCGTGAACCACCCGCTCGGGTCATAGGTCTACCCACGGTCCCGGTTCGATCCGAGCCGATTTTCACGGGTCTGGCCGGCCCGTTCGTCTTGACACCTCTAGCTGTGAGTATAAAATTTGTTGCTGTGGTAGTTATTTTAGATTCAAAGCTGAAAAAAATATGAAATTTCACAATCACATACAATGACAAATTAAAATTTCAACCATGATAGTGAATAAATAAATAATAAAGTTATATATACATATAGAGAATATGTAGGTATGTGTGAATATAAAAAGGGATGATTTTTTTTCCTTTTCTTTACTGCTCTTGAGAAGTGGGCTGAAGGCGAATTTGGGGGTTGGTTGGAGGCGGGAGCTTTACGTGAAATTATGAAATTGTGAGCCCTTCCTAGCAATTAACATTTAAGGGGCCAGTTTGCAATGTTGAAAGGAAGGATCTGCACTGTAATTTTTAAATTGTAGGGTTTAAAGTTATATTTTAAATGGATTTGATCCACTATGTTTCAATTTTGACCTAAAATTAAAATTGTATTTAAAATTGACGTTGTGAAGGCTGTTAAACGGCTGTTGAAGAGCTGTTGTGGAAACTGCTGTAAAAATATCCTACTCAGTACTCTTCTTAATCATGATATCTAATTCTTTTGATGAAATAATATCCCATTTTTACTCT